TTAATTCAAGGAGTCTTCTTGTGGAGTTTTTGGGATCTTCCATGTAAAGTATCATGTCATCTACAAATAGTGATAGTTTTACTTCTTCCTTTCCTATCCTTATTCCTTTTGAAATAGTAAATCTTTAAGCCACTGAGATGTTGTAGGTTTGTTACCGCTGCTAGCAGTCTTCACCCTGATTAACATACCCCAAAACAACATTTGTTCACCCTTACGGAAAACAACACCACAAACTTGATTGCCATCAGCAACAACTTTTTCCTAGTATGAAAGGCATAGGCCCCAACTCATGTATTAGTGTTTACCCTTTTCACAAAGGCTTCTCGAGTAGGAAATTGGAATGATTTGTTCTTTAAGCTGCATTAATATACTCTCTGGCAATCATCTTACCTTTCTGTCAAAATCTGGGTCAAGTGAGTTGACAAGGAAGTTTTCAGGGCAGGAAGATATTAACAAAGTTTGGGAACTAAGTGGAACTAGAGAGGTGTGTGTTTTTCAAAGACTTACACTAATATTCAAAGACTTACACTACTTCTGCTTGCATTGCTCCTTGAAATGCAGGCTATTCTTTACATACCCAAACCAGTGAGGTATATTTATCTGGCACACTAGGGAAGGGGTGTCTACAGAGGAGGAACACTTCAGTTTTTATGACATACAGGTTCATCTGAAGTCACAGTGCTCATGCTCTTCAAGGGCTAAGCTCTCTAAGTGAGTGATGAAAAAATTTCCTGTTGAGAGAATTTTCACAATACACGAATGACTGAAAAACAAGTAATGTTATGGGAAGGCTGGACGCATAAACACCATAAAAAGGTGTTTCTGATGGACATCTATTTTACCCCTGTGGGAATATTCTGATGCAACCAAAATATGTTAAAAATTTTATCCCCAAGAAATATTCATCATAGACCCTTTCCCCCTGATTTCTACATTTGAAGATCATCTCAAATACTGCAGCAGGATGATTCAGAGCTATCTAATGTTATATAGTATTGATTTCTAACTCAGTAGTTTTTAAAAGAATATTTCTTTTTAAAAGAATACTTACTAACTTGGCAGTTTTTAAAAGAATACTTTAAAAGAGTACAGACACATGCCTGTAATCCCAGTGACTAAGGGGGCTGAGGTAGGAGGATCTCAAGTTCAAGACAGCCTGGGCAATTTAGGAAGACTCTGTCTCAAAAACAGAAGGGCTGGGGGCTTAGTTCAGTGATAGATAGCTTGTATAGCATGTATGAGGCCCCGTGTTTGATTCGCAGCACTGAAACAACAAAACAAAAAGTCTACATTTAAGGTTTTGAAATCATAATAATACAAATTTTTTATAGAAAAATAATATGGTATTAAGAATAAAAGTACCTCCAGCCCCTCATCACAATCCTGAGATGGCTACTATTAACACATTGGTGTTTACCATTTAAGTTGTTTTCTATGCATATGCAAGCACACAAAATTTTTTTTTTGAGACAGGGTCTTGCTATGCAGTTCAGGCTGGCCTTGAGCTTACTTTGCAGCCCAAGCTGGTCTCGAACTCACTAAGATTCTCCTGCCTCAGCCTCCCAAGTGTTGGAATTACAGGTGTGAGCCACCACACCTGGCTAAAATTATACATAAACTAAAATTTATTTTGTTAAATATTTTTATTTTATGGAAAATGTCAAACATTCAAAAAAGTGAAGAGAAACAGTAGAGGTTGAGCATCATGTCAAAAATTGGAAATGATCCCAAACCTGAAACCCTTTAGGCACTGACATGATGACAAAGAGTCGAAAATTCCACACCTAACCTCAAGTGCTGGGTTGGAGTCAAACACAGGCACACGAAAAACATTGTATAAATTTACTTTCAAGCTATGTGTATGTTGTAGTTTGAAAAAATTTTTTTAACGTAAGTATATCCTGTGTTTAGACTTGGGTCCCATCCCTAAGATGTCTTACTGTGTATATGTAAATAGTCCAAAATCAAAATCAAAACAAAACAAAACTATCTCAAATCTGAAACACTTCTGGTCCCAAGTAAGACCAGATAAGTGGTACTCAACCTCGGCCTCAGTAAGGTTAAGGATAAGAGGCCCTCAACCCCAACTAGTGTATTCATCATCTCACATGAACAATTTTTAACTCACAGCCAACCTTACGTTGTACTCCCACCACATTTTTCTTCTGCCATACCGAGATTATTCTGAAGTAAATCCTGGACAGTTTATCAGCTAATATTTAACTGTTTTAGTAAATGTCTCTTAAAGATTCTTTCAAAAAACAGTCATGCCTATAA